GGCCATTTACTGCCCTCTGATTGCGCCGAGGACCAGGTTAGCTCATAAAGCCTTTCACACTCAACAATGGGGATTTTCTCAACAATTAACAAGAAACAACATAATAAAGCCATTTACAAAGACCTCGCTATTTACTATAAATTAGGCACTCTTTAAGAGACCAGTGCGTAATTTCACACACTTTACAACTGGGGCTGCATTTTAAACACCCGGGGAAAACGAGCTTGTTGCACTCTCCGGTGACCTGGCTGCGGACCCTCGGTCTCCCCTCGTCCCCGGTAGCTTTGTTTTTCCAATGCTCCACTTCAACCTCACGACCGAGGGTGGCTTTCCAGGTCACTGTGTCCCGTTTCCCGTTTCCAAGTCATCATTCCACTGGCAGACGCACTGAGAGGGTCCAAGGGACGCCGCTTCCCTCGCCTGCCCAACGCGGGGCGTGCACTGGCCCTGCTCGCGCTCCCGCGCCACCCGCACACTGCGGCCTGCAGTCCGGGGCCACCTCCCAGGAGGCGTTCGCAGCCACTCTGGCCCAGAGCGGAGCCCCATGCCTTTGCCACTGGCGTTCCGCACGCGCACTTTGTAGGCCTTGGCTAGAAATGCAAAGAGCCGGGCCCCAGGAGAGACAAGGCCCGGGTTCGGAGGTGGGACGCGCTGAGGGGCAGGGGCATGTGCCTGCGCGGCCACGGGCGACGACCTCCGGCCACGCGAAAGGCGCCCAGAGCGAGGAAAGGCGTCGCAGTCCCCGAGGGCCCGTCCCGGGTAGGGGTCCGGAGCCGGGCGCGCGCCTTGCTGCCCCCTCCCCCGCGCCTGGCTCCCGGCCGGCCAGGCCACGAGGCCGCAGGCACGCGAGGCTACGCCAGAGGTGCAGGGGTACGAGTTTCTTCCGCTCCGGGGGAGCCCAGTCGTCACGCGTGCAGAGCAGAGCAAGATCCGGGCGGGGAACGTAAAGTCACAAAGAAATTAGTTTGCCACCGTGCAAGATGGCGGCACCTACAAATCTTTCTGGTGGTGGTGGTGGTGGCCCTGGCCGGACAGCTAGAGACGCCCCGGGTCAACGCTTGTCCCCAGAGCTCAGCAGCGGGGGCAGGCGACCCCCAACACCTCCTCCGCCCCCACCCCGGCCCTCGCTTTTCCCGACCCGTCTCTCCCAGGCCGCCAGGCCCAACGCTCGCGCCCGCAGCCCCTGGCCGCTGACCCCTGTTTACAAACACGGCCTGGGGGCGGGGTGGGGCTGGCCGGAGCGCGGGCCGGCGGGGTGGGGGGAGGCGGCGCGCTGCGGAGGACGCCACCAGCAGAGAGGAACGAGGAGCTGGTGCGAGCGCGCGGGCCCGGCAGCTGGAAAGGACTGAACGCCTTGTTTTTGAAACTGTCAATTCCCTCAACCCCTATTGTGAGGGCTTCATGCAAAACATCTCAGGCCTTTTAAAGTAGGAGCTTGTGAGGCCGCCACATTTTGAAAAGGAGTGAGAGAGGAGCGGGGGCCCAGGGCATGGGCAAAGAATGATAGCTCGTCCCCCCCACCCCCATTCTTTTTTCAAGCTAGAGGGCCGGCCAAACAGGTAAAGCGCAGCCCTCCCCCACCGCCTCGCTCGGCCCTGCGCCCCCCACCTCCCGGGCTAGTTTGCAAAATGCCCTTTGGCCCAGGGAGCAAACCAAAACCACAGCTAGCATCACAAATAGTTCTTCCTCACAGGAAAAGGGAAAATCCTGGGCATGACTGGGGTGACCGGGCGGGCTTGCCAAGGTGGATACCCTGCTCCTCCTGCCAATTCCCTGAGGTTAGCTGCCGGGGAGCTTTTTTTTTTTTTTTCCCTTCCTAGTTTTGCTCTGGGAATTCCTTCTTTTCACATCCTTTGCAGCAGGAAGTTATTTTCTAGGTGAAGCAAAACTCACCACATTCTCTTTCTTTTATAGATGTTATTGCTTTATTTTTATTTTACCATGGAAGATTTTTGTTTTACTTTTCTTTGCAAGAAAAAAAATGCTTTTGAGGAATTAGTTTCTACATCTCATCCTGCATTCAAACAAAACTATCATTCTCCTATCAGCGGAAAAAAAAATCTCAATTCTTGTTGACTAGAATTTTGAGGCATTTCTAGAACATTGAAAAGCACCCAAACATGAATAAGATAAAAATTCACGCACCAGCCCATCTAGTTTGGGTTATTGCTGTTTAGTGGTGGCTCCTTGTTGTTGACTTTCAAATAAACAACCATTATTGAGATTACTCCATTGTAATCAAGTAAGCCAGTAGAAAAGAACACCCACTTTAAAAAAAGCAAATAGTTGGCAAAAAAAAAAAAAAAAAAAAAAGGCAGGCTGCATTTTCTATAAAGGCACATAACCTGACTGTGGAAGACAATAAACACATCTCTTTAAAAATAATTAAATATTAGTTTCACAGTGTTATCAGATAATTACTTTTATAGGAAACCAAAAATAAGTTTGCTTCCCCAAAAATGTCAGAGAAAGAGCCTTTCCCTGCACTTTCTTCCAGCTTGGAAATGTGGAGCTTCAGACACAGGAATCACTGACCCTGGAGCCAGATAGAGCTTAAAATAATATACATATAACCTACTCCCTGAAAACATTTAAATGTAAAAACACAATCTATCAATGGGGGTAACTTTTGTTTTTCTCTCAGTAAGGCTTCCCTTTTTGAACAAATGGGACATTTATAGCAGCTTAAAAAATCTAGATATTGTCATTAATCATAAAACAACCAAAATAAAATAAACTATACTGAGAATAATTCCCACAGCAGGATGGGAAAACAGCTAAGGGGCTACCAGGACTTGAAAGAATACCTTGTGTTTGCAAGTTACTGCATACTATTTGGTATACTTTCCTGACAGAAGCCCCAACTCAGGTTTTGCTGTGGTTGGCTGGCTTATAGTAGTACTACGGGGTGAAATTTGTGTTGACTATGTAATTTCTTTCCTTTTGATGGTATCATTCTGGAATGCTTCGGCCTCCATGCTGCTCATTCTCTAGCTCCTATAAACTGAAACTATTGATTCTCTGAGGGCAGGAGACCAAGTGTCAAAGCTAGAGGCTGCTATTTTATGTCAGAAATTCCAGAGGGCATATTTGTTTTAAATTGTGCTTATTCCGTCTTATGGTCTTCCCATACCCAAGATCTACTGTAGACTTCATATATATTCTCAATTTATAGTTTAGGAACAATAAGTCCATAGGCAACATGAAAACTACTAGTCTAAATGTAGTAGTCACCATACTTTGAACTTTCTTGACTTCACAGTAATTAAAGAGCAGAAATTACAGACCTCTACTGTGTGTGTGTGTGTCACATTTTTTACAGATTGATTTTTCAAGACAACTCACTGCACCTAAATTCTACATTGCTTTCCAGAGAGGGAAAACCTCAGACTAAGAAGCCAATTGTTCAGCTTTCTGGGATCTGACTTGTAACATGGACTGGTCTTTGGAATTATACACAAAGTTGAATTCAAGGATAATATTCCCCAATTTTTCTTTGACCATTTCTACTATTTAAAAGAAGAGGAGGAGGAGGAGGGAAAGGAGGAGGAAGAGGAGGACCCAATGAACCTACATCTGGCAATATTCAAGAAGGAAAGGAAGGGAGGCAGTTCAAAGCATCTGTTTACTCCATCCACATGTATTTGGATGCAGGTACTCCCAGCCTCTGTCCTTTACACCAAGAGGAAAACCACAGAGCATACACAGTAATTAGGGCTGAGACCATCCAGATCTATCTGAAACATTTATAGACAAAAGGAAATTTTCAAAGGGAGTAGGAATTAAAAGGTTAAGAAAAGAAAAAAAAGACTGAATTTCCATGAGAAATAGCGATTTAAATTCACACAGTAAACATTTCATTGGTGTTTTGTTTTGTTTTGTGATTTATGATCTATAGATGCAACTTCTTAGACTCAAGATAGTAGAGATCTGAGTTACATAATTTGTCAGACTGAGGGAGGTGAACCAAAAATTATTAGATTCAACTTTCATTAAAATAACAACTGACCTCTGCTTCACTTTCTTAAAATCGAAACATTTCATACTTGATGTCTCACAAGTTTGTAAAGTTTTCTTGTTATTTGGGAAGAAATCCACCAGTGTTTTGTACAGAACCTGACTGGCCTCATCACACAGTAGTACAACAAAACACTACACCCAGTAAATGCATTTCTTTCAGGCAAAAATATTACAAGTGAGAATGTCAAGAGAACCATTCATTCCTGTTAACCGTTCTTCAATCTGGAATAAGTAGAAATGTATGGAACCAGGAATTTTAAACAGTGTTTTTAATTGAAAATAAAGCTAAAGCATGCTTTTCAACAGTGCAAATTTCCATAATTTTGATTTACTGCTTCCATCATCACAACACAGTATACCAGCATGGCCCTCACCAAGGGCTAGACCCTAGCCATTTGCATGTTGAACTACTTTGATTTTTAAGTGCAAATATAGATAGTCACCTCTGATTGTCACTTGCAGTAGAAACTCTCCTGCTGTATACACAGGATGGTCTGAAAACAAAAGTTTAGAGGGATGAAGAAAAAGTGTAAGATAATAAAATCCAAGTGCCTGAGTTCTGGTACCAAAAAGCCCTGAAATAACTTATTTTTCATTTGGGGGTATTGCAACTCTGACCCCTCATTTTCCTTTTCTTGGTTGTATTTACTGCCTTGTCACTAAGAAGAGTTAGACCATAATATATCCTACTATTAAGGGAAATATTTTAATTGTTTTGCAAGTTGGAAGAGTCATGTTCAGACCACAAGATAAGCAGGACAATATTGAGTCACCTTATTAAAAACATTTGGGTGAGAACACAAAAAGGACTTTTCCAATTGCAAGGAGTGGCTGTAAAAGTAAAACTCACACTCTCTACCAAAAAAAGAAAATCCCATTTTTTTTTTACTCAATATATATGAGGCAGCTTTTACCAGCATTCAATCAGGACTACACCCCAATCTTTCTTACTCAAAGATACACACACAATAAGAGTTAAGTGCAACTACTCCTGGAGAGGAAATGAGGGGAGTAAAAAGAAAAAAGATACCCCACAAACAAGAGCTCCAGAAAATAACATTTTGGGCTCATAGAGACTTCTTGCTACCTCACTGTAACCATGTGACCTAACAAACTTTCACTGAATTAAGTTACACTTTCAGGTCTGAAATCTAGTGCATAAACTTAATGGCTCATTGTAATATTTATTATTCAACCTTTTGACATTTATTTGTAGCAGTTGAATTGAGGTACCAAGTGCATTATTAGCATTGAAACAGTAAAGTGTTCCAGCTCTACCATAATAACTGAGTTTTACTTGAGTCTTTAGCCTGAAGTAGACCGTAGTATGTAAACCAACCCTTCTCCCACCCCGCCCCCATCCTTTTCCAAAAAAAAAAAAAAAAAAAAAAAAAACCAACAACCCTGCAATGGAAAAAAAAAAAGTAATCCGATTTCTGTCTTCAAAATGCAATAAACCAGGACTCCAAAGGGGGTGTAACACATTAATGGACTTGTACAAACCATCCTGTGCAGTTTACAACAAAAGGAAGGTAATATGGTTCAAGAAAGTATCTTCCAAAACATTTTTATGAATTAAATTTCCTGAATTTGTGACTAGGTGGAAGAGGTATTGCAGAACCGCCCAGCTGCCATTTCCATATAGGATGGGCCTTGTGAGGAGGTTGGGAATCCTTAGTGGTGTTTAAGGAATACGCCGGCCACAAATCCCCATCCTTCCCAATAATGAGCGACGGTGGACAAGGAAAATTTGCCATGAAATTAAATGGCCTTTTCACTGCTGATGCTACATTGCTGGCTACCTTTTTGCGTCTGTTTATAACTGTAAAATCATCCAGTGTTCCTTCATGTGTCTCGGTTTTACCTGTAGGACGAGGGCTTCTAGCTGATTTCAAATTTGGTTTGACTGGAGGTGTCTGAAGGACAGGTCGCTTTCCCAGTACTAGTGTCCGGTAATTTTTTCTCACTCTGGCACCAAATTTATATTCCCCATCCTCAGGTTTTGGAGAACCTAAAGTGCATGACAGGCCCTGATTCTGAGCCAGTGGATTCAAGGAAGGAGTTTCTTTTTCAGGGCATGCAAAACCTTCCTTGGCTGTGGTTAACAAGGCGTCCTCCTCTTTACTCTCAGTTACACTGTAAAACTCACCCTTTGTATCATTGCACTCGCACTTTAGCTTATTTGTAATAAGGTCAGGTTCGTATTCTTCATTAGCACTACTGTCTTCTACTTTGATTTTAATATTGTGCAGAAATGGCAGTGTCTTGTCACCTGTGTCAGTGCCTTGATTCTCAGCTTTAGTTGCTGCTGCTGCTGCTGCTGCTGCTGCTGCTGCTGCTGCATCCACTTCAGGATCAGTTTGCGAAGAGGGCAAATCCGTAGCAAATTCATGACAATGAGGGATTTTCGAATCTTTTTCTGAATTTGCTGCTACTCCTGAAGATTCATTATTTAAGAACCTAGCAACAATTGTGCCGTTATCTGCACAGAGTGTAGCAGGAGTTGCTTGTAGGCATTTCCTAGCCTCTCGGAGTATTCTTTGTTGTGGAAATACATTGTTTGTCTTTGGGCTAGGTGAAGAGGCCCCCTCTGCCAGGCAGTTAATTGTCAGGTCAGTTCTCCTTACAGTACTGGAAATTTCAGAGTGTGGGAATGTAATCTCAGATACCCTATCGTTCCTTATCTCTGTGAAACAACTCCCCAGACTGGCCGGGCAGTACACCGGAGACGCTTTGGGGGCCCAGTCCTGCAGAGTCCACTCCTCGGGCGACTCGGCTTTGACGCCACTCTTGAGGTCGGGAAGTCTGCCGGCATCCTCGAAAGCAGCGGGTTTGGTTGCGGCGGCGGCCGAGGCCAGATGGTACAAGAAGTTGGCCTGCGCCTGCACGCTGGGAGGCTTGCAGAAGCTGGTGCGCCTGAAACGGATGCTCTGCACTGACACTTGGCTGGAGCCGGAGCTGGAGTCCGACTCCGTGGACGAGTCCTCCTCCTCCGAGCTGACTTCACTGGAATCCGAGGCCCCACTGCCCCCCTCCTCCTCCTCCTCCTCCTCTTCCTCCTCCTCCTCCTCTTCCTCCTCCTCCTCCTCCTCTTCTCCCTCCTCCTCCTCTTCCTCCGAGGACACCGAGTTGCTGGAGCTGGACAAACTGGAGCCAAAATCCGAGTCGTTGGCTGCGTGGTCCGAGTAGGAGCTGGACTCGGAGTCGCTGCTGCAACTCTCGGGAAAGCTGCCCAGATGCGGCTGCGGCCGATGGTGGTGAGGGGGGTGGTGGTGGTTCTGCTGCGGCGGCTGGGCCCGGTGGTGGTGGTGGTGGTGGTGATGGTGGTGGTGGTGGTGGTGCTGGGGAGGCGGGCAGAAGCTGTTGACCAGATGAAATCTCTCCAGGCAAGTGGCCCCCGCGGCAGCCGCCGCCGCCGCCGCCGCCGCCGCCGCTGCCGCCGCCGCAGCCGCCTTGGCTTTGTAGGACCTAGGCGGCAGCAGCAGCAGGCGCCGGGCGCCGGCGTGCGGCGCGAGCAAGCAGTCCTTGGAGCCCCCGCGCCGGCGCTTGCCGCGGTAGCTCAGGCTCGCCGGCCCTCCTGCGCCCGCCTTGGGCTGCGGCCCGGTGGCCGACGCCTGGTAGTAGGCGGCGGCGGCGGCGGCGGCGGCGGCAGCGGCGGCGGCGGCGGCGGCGGCCGGGTGCTTGCTGCACAGCAGGCTCCGAAAATAAGCGGGGTCCGAATGGAAGGCGACGTAGTTTCCCGGGAGCGGGGCAGTTTCATAGTTTAGAGGGGCTTTGCAAGGCGAGCGCACGATTTCCGGGTAGCGCGAGCCCGGGTATTTGCTGAAAACCTGAGGTAGATGGGCGGCGGGGCGCGCGGCGGCGGCGGCGCCCGGGCGCGGGGACTGCGCGCTGATTGGCAGCGGCCGCGCCGCTCCACTCAGGCCCCGCCAAAGTTGGTGCTCGTCCTTCCAAAATGCCGGGCGGGGGCCCGCGGCGGCGGCGGCGGCGGCGGCGGCGGCGGCGGCGGCGGCGCGCTCCGGCGGTGGCGCTGGGGCTGCGGCTGCCCGGCCCGGTCGCCTGCGCTTGGTCTTGAGGACGCGCTCGGTTTTGCAGGACGTGTAGAGTGCTTCCACGTCTTCCCGGGAGATGAGCGTGCACTTGGCGGCGTGGAAGGCGATGCTGTTGATCGCCTTGAGTTTCCGCAACTCCTCCAGGTCGCAGTGGTGCTTTTTCACTTTCAGATGATCCATGCGCTTGTGCACGGTCGTCCTCGGGATGTTTTTCAGCAGATCCGTGAAGACTTGGGAGAGGGCAAACATTTGCTTCCCTTTAATGATGAGGTAGCCGAGCCTCACGCCATCCACCTCTTCAAAACCTGACTTCAGGTCTCCCATCTCGGGCACTAAACGATCCCCACCATTTGCAGTAAATATATACGTGACGCATACATACACATGTATGTATGTTAATCCTCCGCCAGATGCTGCGTGTGTCTCAAGGCATCCTGCTAATAAAATAACAAAGACTGTTATTCCCGGCGAAGGGACTGCCAAACTCTAGCCGAAATTATTGGGGGGAAAAAAAACCCCATGAAATTACACTGACTTGATTCTTGATTTTTTTTTTTTTTTTTTTTTTTTTTTTTTTTTTTTTTTTTTGGTTTTCGTTTTTTTAAAAAAGAGGGAGAAAACCATCCGGCTTCTGATCTGCCAGTGTGTTGGTGTAAGGCCCCGATGCAGATCAGTACCTGCGCCCCTCCGGCCCTTCCTTCTCCATTGGAGCACTATGATAATGGAATGTGAAGGGAGAAAGAGAAAAGAAATGCAGCTGCTATTCCCGCCGCTGCTTTAGCTACAAATAAAATGACAGAGTGAAGTGAGCTCGTCCGGAGACACCTTCATCAATTAATTCCCCTAAAGCCAACGCTGATTGGACACTCCTGACAGGTGATGCAATAAAAATTGATATTCCACCCCTTCCCCCCAAAATCTCCCACTAATTAGCATACCCTTATACTGCCACCTCCCCTCCCAAAGTAAATAATACAGTCGGTATATAAATCTTTCCATTAAACTATCGGAGCTCAGAAGCAGCCTGACTCACAGACTTCATCAGAAGCAGTGTGTGTACGTTTAAAAAAAAAGGTATATTTTCCTTTAAAGAAATATTGCCTATTTTTTGCTTTATTTGCAATTTACCGATACGGCTATTATCGTTTCAAGATATTATTTTTAAAAACATTATCAAGCCTAGATAGATATACCCCACCCCCTTTTCCTTTGGAAAATGGAGCTCAAGCGAAAATGTGCAGAATAGCCTGGTATTTCCCTTACTGGAGTGAGGAGGAGGCTGGCTGGGAGCTCCGAAGTTAGACCGCGCGCTGAAACCCCCCAGTCAGGACTTACGTTTGGAATTTCTCTTGATTTTCCTTTTTTTTTTTTTTTTTTTTTCCTGAAATGCCTTTTTTACAACCAGAAACAAAGTTATTTGACCAAGGAAGCAGTTCAAGGCTCCAGCTCCGAAACACTGTAACAATTCAACTGGATTTCGGTTCTCTGCTGGGGGGTGGGGTGGGGAGGAGGTAGTTTCGCGTCAGACCCATAACAAAGCACAGATAAGCCAGAAATGTGTACACTTTTCACAATTAACCGGGCTGGCGTGGAGGCGGGATCCTCCTGGAGTCGCCGGTACAGCTTTTGCCAGGGTCCTGTTCAGGACAGGTCAGAATTCCAAGGAGCAGCTTGCTTCCTCCTGCAGCAAAGAAAAGAAAATGTAAAACGCCCAAGGTGCTTCCAGAGGTTTTACGTAATACCGATGAAAAGAAAGTGCTGATGTACGATGCAGACGCTTTCAGTGCTGTGTGCTGCTGTTGGTTGGTAGTTTAGGTGAGTCTTCTACAACTCCCATTTTTTTTTTTTTACCAATGAAATCCTGCTTTACCAAAAATCACTTTGGATGAATATCAAAATGATTTAACCTCTTCTTAGTGAAATTAAGGCATATTTTGGTGTCGTTTCCAAGGATATCCAAAATATTGCCAAATGAGAGCAAGGTTCTTCCCAGTTGCATTACCACTATCCCAAGGCAGTTTGTTGGCTGCTTTGCAAAATTCGGCAAAATCTTCTTAACTGTTCACTGTTTGCAACTACAGCATAAATGCAACCCAAGCATTTATATGTTTCCTTGTTCCTCCAAAAATAGACACATCCGTGTGGTTAAAAGAATAAACGGATATTTCTGAGCCTGCAAGAAAAAAAAATTGTACAATAATTTCTTTCTTCACATTCAAAAGTTCCAGCCTCCCCTGCTCTGGGCTAGCTAGCACCAGAAGGTATGACTTAAAAGGAAAAAAAAAAAAAAAAGCTAAAACAGAGGAATCAGATACACAAAAAGGTTGTTTGCTTGACAAGATGAAATCTCGGCCATAGTTCCCCACCCCCACCCTCATCTCGCTTGTAATTTCCCAGGAATTTTCAAGAGAATTGGGAATTTCAAGAAGTGCATCCGGAAATTAAGGAAGTCTATTTAAGAGAGTCTGTAACTCAGGAGGCTGGGATTTGAAAAGTCAGCCCTGGACTACTGTTGCACTCAGCACAGATGTAATCGCCGCTCTTCAACTTAATCAATGTGTGTACAAACCACGATGTCTACTTCTTGCCTTTGAAATCTAAGGCTAGCATTTCCATCCAAGAAATCAGAGCTACAGCAAATTACATTTTTGTCCCTTGAATGAGAGAAGGATCATTGAATGGATCTCGTGATATTTCAGGCTTTAAACGTAACCGAGAGGCAGCAATGAACAATGCCTCGTCACAGCTAATACCATCCACCGAGTTGGCTTTCTTTTGCATCTGGATCCATCACACCGCGTTTTTCTCTTTCATTTTCACAGGAGGCAAAATGCACAAGGTTTAAGCAGAAAGCAAAGTTTCCAGGAAAAGCAGATGCTGGTGTTTGTTTTTAAAAGTAAAATGACCTGACTCTTTCTATTGCCAGCAACAATAATGTCGTTTTAAAATTCCTCCTGATGCACTTATATACTGCCAGCCCTATCCCTCCCACCCCACCTCCGCCCATTCCCCTCCCCCAGCTTCAAGATTTAGATCCAAGAGTCAAACAACCAAGAAATAGTAAACTCACAAAAAGCCTTTGAGAAGACATTACAAAAGGTTGGCTAGAGTGTCCAATTTTTTTTGGGGGGGGGGCAGGTAGTTTTAGTTGTTCTCAATTACTGTTTAGATTTATACATGCACGCCTGTGCACACGCACGCACACACACATTCCTATTCCTCCTGCACATAGCAACATGATTTAGTAGCCATTTCAAAATTACCTTCTTTTTTCTCTCCCTCTCTTCTCACCTTTAAAATACTGGCAACATAGGTGGTTTTGAAAAGTAGTTGAAAATTAAGGGTTTTTTTTTCTTTTTTTAAACTAAAGGTGTAATCTGTTGGATCAAATAGAGAAAAATAAAGACCAGGAGATTTGGAAATGTGTCTATCTATAGTATTTATGCAAGTATATCTGAACGTGCACTCAGACACCTGTACACTTCTACATTTTTAATACTCCTATTACACATCTTTCTTCTTGTTTAATACATTCTTTTGTTCTTTTAACTTCCCCATCGTGTGTGTGTGTGTGTGTGTGTATGAGTGTGTGTGTTCAGGCTGGAACACTTACCGTGGCATGTGTGTGCACACACACATACACACACATACACAGAATGTGACAGACAGCTTTCTTGTGGCCATCAGCACACGTTGCATATCCGGGGTCTTCTCCAGGCACATTGGGGGTCGATCCCGATAAAAAGATCTAGCAGAGGCCCCTGAGCGCTCACACATGAAAGGCAGGGGACTTTAAGATGGATTTGCATGCACACCGGGGATTTCGATCAATAGCTACCAACATTTATGGCTTAGATTATTAATGCGAAAGCTGGCCAAAAGAATGGGGATGAAAAATTAAAGGTGTCTGTTATCAATTATGCTTAAAGTTATGCAATAATTTACTTAGTTTGCCTGGATGTGCAGATCCAGATGTATAAAGTACTATTCTTCAAAAGCCAGGGGGTTTCTTTGATAAATTTGTTGACCATGTCAGCTGTCTCTACAATCAAAGATGAACCAAATTCAGATGATGGACTATATTCAAATTCTTTTTTAAGAAAGGATATATCAGCTTCTGTGTTTCTTAAATACATGTGTATATGTGAATGGATACACCCAGATTAACGTTTGTGCATATATCCATCTCTGGGGGGGTCTAGAGAATTTAGGCATATATATGTTATGCACTGAGTTAATTAAACATGATTATTTACTCAGTGAAGAATACATAATGTACATGCTATGGTAAAAGTATATTTTGCTTTGAAAATAAAGCTGCTGGCTAAAGGAAAATCCTCTGCAGCAAATACAGATTGAAATACATTCTTAATGTCCACTGTATTGTAAAAAACCAGCACTTTCAGTTTTTAAAGTGATGGGCTGTACAAATATGAACATATTTGTCTTTACTTATCCCATATGAATTGCTAAATTTACCTTCAGATGCTCTATTTTGATTTATTTTCACTGTATTTTATGTTTAAATACCATTGCAATTCAGTCTGACCTCTTTCCTCTGGAGCGAAGTAATGCACATGGCATTTACAGTCTTTTAAATGGTTAGCTGGGAAATGCAATAGCAATTTGCAGGAGTAGTTTACTAATGGGGAAAGTTCTTTTGAAAACCTGAAGGAAAACCGAAGAGTACTTTTGCATGTCTACACTACAACTGTCATATAATTAAAGTATTGAAGAGCATTAAAATAATCCTTTTCCTTCCAGGCTCTCACCCATACATACATAATTTAAATGAGGATCACACACCCCACCACCACAACCTAACTCTTCACCATATACATTTGGTTTAGTGATTGCTGGGCACATTTTGTTCAAAGTGAATTCAGAGAGAAAAGGGTAAGGAACATCACAAAGGACTCAACAATGTCAGTATACCGCAGAATAAAGCAGAATAAAAGGAGCCCCTTATACTATTCACCAAAAGTCACTATAATACTTACAATATAAAGTCTATAGCAATAATTTAAAGTCTCATGTGTTGAATCAGTAGAAGATATAAGATAATAAAATCTCAACAACAGTTTCTTAGCTAAATTTATCTAATATCACACTTTCTCTGCTTTGTGGGAGGGGAAAATGAGAATGTAGGAGGGAGGAATGGCTAAATTGAAGAGCTAATTAAATTATAACTTAGTATATTTTCCTTAATTTTTTTTTCTTTTAGTCTCATCCAAACAAATCAGGGCAAGTCTCCAAAAGGGACCATCCTTCTGTTCTTGGGCCTTTAAAAACCCTGTCTTTAACAGAAGTTTGGGACACAGAGTATATGCCATGTTGTCTACTGACCCATAATCAAAATGCAGTGACCTTCTACCCTTTTTTTGCCCCCTGACCCATCTTGAATTCAATGCAGCCTTTATAAATTTGCAAATCCTTGGAGGTAAAGGGGTTTTTGTGAGGCTTTGTTCTGAGAAAGCCCTAAGAGTGTGCTTTCTAAATTAGACAAAGGTAAAGCAAGAAACATTAGTGAATGAAATTTTATACAGGTGAGCAATGGGCAACTCTTCCTAACACATATTGCAAGCTAAAAAGCAGTTATAAACATAGGAGACAAGGAGGTTATGGATTGCATCAAATTAGAGTGCCGTACAAATCACTTTCATGATGTAAGAAATGGTTAGGCCACAATCTTCCTGTTCTTCTCATTTTCAGGGCTGTGGGGGACCCTAGTGACCAAGGAAGGAATGGGGGTGGGAGGGAGGGGGAAAGGAGAGGAGAGAGGAAGGGGAAGAA